GGCATTCAGCCAAGGAGAGAGAATAAATTATCTCCCTGCTACCCTTGCATGCAGTGATGACTGCTTCCCCACCCTTTCAAAATAAGATAAATCAAGATGGCATAGGAAATTCAATTTTAAAGCATCCCCCCTTTTTTTCTTCTGCCTCTGAGTCCTATCTTGAAAAATAGTTGGCTCAGTATTTAATGGCTGACTTGGTTTTAACCTCCTCAATCACATATGCTGCATTATCTCTCAGTGCTGCTGTTTCTGTCAAGACTGTCATTGGCGAGCTTCACGTGAGGCCACACTTGAAATATTTCTCCTGCCAGGTAAGAGCAAATTAGGCAATGAAATCATTCATTTGGCCTATGTATTCTTAATACTAGAAATCAGTAAATTTTCTTTGCAAATGAGGTCTGTATAACAAGCCTTGACCCTCAGTGTTCTGAAGCAAGCGAAGCATGATGGCTTGTTGGCTTTTTTTTCTTTGGTAGTAAAACTGTGAGAGAATGGCTCTATCAATAATCTAGATTTCTACTAGCAGGAAGGATCTACCGGAGGTAAGACTTCTCTATAATTGCCTGTCCTCTACAGTAGTTCCTTAATGTCCAATCATATTGTTGTCTATAGGGCGAAATCTCATGAACATAATGAAACTAAATTTGATTGAAAATCTCATGCATACATCTAATTACATGCTGGGAAATGAGCTTAGCGTGAACCCCTGAGTCCTTAAACTTGGTCCTAACTACCCCTCAGGTAGGAGTGGACCTATTACTTGTGACCTGGGTCACCCCCAGCTCCCTACCCATTGCCTCATACCCCTTGGTGATGAGCCTGGGAAAGAAAAACAAATCAGTGCAGGAGGAACAGCATTTCTCACAGAAGCTGGTGATGTACAATTGAATAAGCTCATTCATTAAGGAGAAGCTGGGACAGGGTGGGTAAAGTAGAGGTGCTAAAGCTTATTTAGGTGCTGTAGAAAATCTGCTTTGGGTTGGAAAGCTGCTTCATATTAATCTGTGATCTGTCTGAAACCGCTTAGGATAGCAGGTGGAATTTAGAGATGGGAAGACAGAATGTTAAATTTTGTGTTCAGCAGTAAAGGAGCAGTCATTGCTGAGAAATAAATGTAGAAAGAGGAGAAAGCTTATGATAGTTTCAGGTGTTTGAGATATAGTCAGGAGATGACCACTCATCTTTTACCCTTACAGTAGAAATAAATTCCAGAGGCAAACAGTGTGCATGAGGCTGTTTTTAGGCAAATGTAGTTTTCTGTGGTGTTACAACTCTATTTCATGAGAGTTTTCTTTCTCTTGGGGAACAAAAAGGGAGATTTTCTAGTGGTTGCTCAAGGCAAGATTGTTTTGTTCTTGAGGAAAAATGTCTCTGAGGCACTGAACCATGAATTGAAATATGTGGCAGGAGAGAAAGGTAGAAATATCTTTTGAAAATACCATCATTGCATCCTAGTAGAATTAAGCTCTCCCTCTGTTATGTTAGAATGGATGCTTTGGTGCTCATTTTGAAGCCAACAGTACATGCTATATCACTGCCTTTGGAAGTCAATTTGCTTCTCAATTAGAAAATTAAGCAACGAGCTTAGATTTTTAACTTTGGGTGGAGGAAAGTTCTTTTCAGTACTTTAAGGCAGTTTCTGGGAACTAAATGGCAATTCTTATTCTTCAACAGAAACAAACCGGAATAATGTATTAACATAGTGGGAGGAGAAAATGTCAAATGCAATGGAATTTCTGCCAGAAGAATGCATGGTGACCACTGACAGAATTTTATTCAACCAACTCTTTTGCACTTTGTCTCTGCCTGTGTTTGTTCCTGACGTGTTACACCCCCCCCTCTTTGGCATGCTTTTATACAACAGCACTTGTGTTGTTCTCTCAGAGCGTGTGCAAAACTGTAAAAGGCTGCAACAGCTGCATGTCAGTGGCTGCATCACCTATGGTAATGATACTGCTGCTAGAGATTGGTTAGCTTACCTGCTGTAAAAACCTATCATTCTCAGAACATCCAGTTCCTTCCTTCTCTTACAGTAACTGTAACCTGTGACTGTAACTTGCTGTTGGTGTCATATTGTCATGTATGCAGGAAGTCTGACGTTCTGTACGTTTTACAGTGACAGTTCAGAACATTCATATTCAGTAAAGCTTTTTCATTATGTAGTGTGTGCTAGAGAGACTTGAAACCCATGATGCATATGGGGAATGAGATATTGCCCTAAATAACTACTTCTCGCTTCAATTGGAGAAGACAATTATGGTAGATTCAGAGTTGCTGGCAGTGAGCAGTAAGAGCATTCCCTTGACTTGAGCTGTTAAAAGCTTTGAAGCTTGGTTGCAGCAACTACCCTGCTACAGAATTACTACCAAGTAGTTGCCACAAATTAATCAATGGGTGAGAGCTGTGGGACTGCAACAGGTATAAAACCCTTAAACTTTGGTGCTGAACCATCACCAGCACTTGTGATGTGACTAACCAACTTCTAGCATCAGGCAGCAAGAAATAAGCTTTGTGAAGATCCTCTGTTTTAAGACAATGGACAAAGTACCAACAAATTCCTGGCAGGTTTTCCATGAAAGAAGAAAAACTAAGAAAAATGGGATTAATAAGCTCAGCACTTAATTGCAAGATGAAATAAATTTTTATTAATCTTTGATAGAAATTGGAAAGGCAGAGGAACACCTGATATGAATGACCACCGATGATGCGGTCATAAAGAACTATAGGATCTTTAAGGTTGGAAAAGACCTCTAAGATCACCAAGCCCAACACACCTTCCTCCCACCCTTCCTCTCCCCCCAGTCCCACCGTGTCCCTCAGTGCCACATCTCTGTGGTTCTTGAACATCTCCAGGCACAGTGGCTGCACCACCTCCCTGGGCATCTTATGCCACTGCATCATCGCTCTTTTTGAGAATAATTTTTTTTCTGATTATCCAATCTGACTTCTTGAGTAGCTTTCCACAGTAGGTGACAGGAAGGAAATGGACTAAGGTTAAGTCTTGTCGAACTGGTTTAGAATAAATACAAAAAACATATTTGGGCAAGAAAACAGTTCTTCATCTACTTATTTGTATCTTGAGTAAAATCCCTTTGGAGGTATTAAAAATCAGGTATTTGGAGCTGCTAGCCTGCGTCTTAGTGTGGGAGCTCCTTGTCCCATGAGCTTCCCTGAGAAAAATCTGGTGCTTCCTATATGCTGATGAAGAGTAAATCTGCTATGAGAAATGGAACTCAGAGCTAGAGAAGTAAGGCGATAATAAGAGAGCTAAGCACCGGGTTGCTGTGCTAGTCTGTGTCATGCAGCGTGCAAAGCAGATATATCACCTGTCTAGCTGTCACAATACACTTGTGGTAGCCATTCTGTCCCTTCTACCATACTTCTATGTGGTGCTCATCTGCTGAGCTGTACTTCAGTGTGGCAGTCTGTACTGTGAGGCATTCAGCTGATTAGAATGATAAGCTGAGCTTGATGAGAAGCATGTGAAACCTGGTAATTTTGAAATGCTTACATGCACTAATACCCTAGTCACAACATTGATTTTCTCTGGAAACCACCTTTATATTCTATGTGCAAATAAGCATCTTGCACAATTTCTAAGGCTTTAAAGCTGCTTTTCTCTATATAGGAAGAAGATCTAAAGGAGAAAAGCAAACTTCAGCTGGCTGAACCTTCACAACTCTGTGCCAGTCTGCACTGCTCAGTTTATTGAAGCAATAAGGTTGGAGCTGATGCTTGACAGTGGGGAAGTGCTGCGTGGGGAAGGCAGATAAATGGGTGTGAAAGCAGACAGAGAAGTGAGAGAGCTCACTTTCCCCCACTGGTCTGTTGCATCCAGGTGCAGGTTGTTCAAACAACTACTTTTAATTAAAAAAAAAAAAAAAAAAGCAAGTCTGTGTATGTATATGCACGTGAGTGTATTTCACATGCTTTGATTCCGGTAATAGATGTAAAAAGAATAAAATAAATCAAATTGTCATTTGAGTATATGCTTTATTTCTAAATCACAGTAATATCTTACATGGCATTGCTATATGGGATCCTTTTATATTACTTCAGATGTCACGTGGGGTTTAGGCTTTGCCTTTTAGTAGATGGAATGTTAGAACCGTGAAATGAAGGAGATGAAGTTATAAATGTTATGACTGTTTTCTTCTTGTGTTCTCAAAAATCTGTTATTGTGACAACTTGCTGTGAAGTAAATATTGAAAAGATTTTGCATCAAAGAATGGCAAAGCATCACATCCCATTGTAATGAGGCCACAGCATGTGTGCTGCTAATGAGTGTGCAGCCAAGTTAAGTGCAGTTTTCATTTCATTCAATTTCATAAATTGATTTGTATTTACAGTGCTGCTGGCTAGGTGTTAATCTCATGTTTTTGTTTAATTGAATAACATGGTGTGTAATTATCCAAAGTGTATTTTCAGTATTCATGGACACAAGCTCCTGAGCTGCTGAAAGTTGCTCTTGAGTGAATGCTGGGTGCAGGACTTGAGGGAAAATGTCTCTGAGGTGAGCTGCTGGGCCTGGATGCCTACTGCTTTTAGGACACATCTGTACATAGAGTGAATGGTGAGCAGGTGCTGCCAACACAGCCTCAGTTTCCCCTGCTCTCAGTAAAAGGCATTGGTTGTAGGATATGCTCTTTGGTGAAAAGAGTGCTCTTCTCTCTTTTAAATTTAAATCTTCTCATTCCAGCAACTGTAAATACTTCTTCACATCAGAATATGCCCTGCAGCATGAACATAAATAGTACAAAAATCTTCATAGTATCAAAAACTAAAGAGATGGGGAAAAAACCTAAAGCCAGTATTGAATGCCTTAGTTAATGAAGGTGATCTATGACGGTTGGCTTTATCTCCCCTGAGAGTTTGGAAATGAGCTGCCCAGGAGCAGCAGCACATGCATGCGTCCCCCAGTCACAGCAAAAAGGAGCATTTGTCTATCACAAGCAAGGCAGCAGTTCTGACCCTATATATGATGTTGTTTTCTTCCTTAGGGTGCTATCTTTCTGCCTGGCAACAGAGTAATTGAGCACCCCTGCAATGAAGAGAGTCCAGGGAAGTTCCTTTTTGAAGTTGTTCCAGGTACGATATTCTACACCTTGTAAAGACTTTGTGGTTGTGTTCTCAGTGACGAATGGCTGCTCTGTTCAGCCAGAACAGCAGCTGAAAGTGATTAATGATTCAATTAAAGGAAAAAAATTGGTTAATTTGTTAATACTTTCATTCATTTTTTTTTTCCCTGCATACCTCTGGCAATGCAGGAAAACAACATGGTTTATATTTGTCAGTGTAAACTGTGATTGCTCTGCAGCTGGGGCTGTGGCACTGAGAATACTGGCAGTATGAGTGGGTTCTGTAATTATTTGAAGTAGAACTGGTTGTTATGGAATGGAGCCTCCAGTGGTAACAGGGATCAGTAACTTGGTGCAAACAGCATTTTACTACTGCATATTTGCTGATGGCACTGGTGCCATCACCTGATACTGGTGCCCTGTCCCTTAGGTGGTTAAATTGGTTGAACACCACCAAACATTGCTGGTTTGAAACCCTAAATTTGTTTTTAACATGTGTTGGTTTTTTTGCTTTTTTTTTTGGTGTTTTTCTGGGGGTGGATTTGTCTAAAGAATGTTGTTCTGCCAACTGAGTGGTAATCCTGAGTGTGTATATTATTGGAGCAATTTGTGAAGGGTCTCCACATCTGGTTAGATCACTGTGTTTATTCAATGTATTCTGTTTTAATCCTCATATTACGTACTAGTGTACTTTCCAGTCATGGCTATTGAAAAAGATCAATTGAGGATAACATTTATGGAAACAAATCTTTGTGGCCTTACTCTTAAACTGGAGAATGTCAAGTTACAAGCTTGGCTGTCCTGACCAAAGCATGGCAATTTTTATATATTGTAGAAGCACAAGTAGTACAAAATAGATTTCCAGAGTGGAGAGAGCATCCACTCAGAAGGTAAGGAGGAGCAGAACTGAGCGGAATTTGCAGACACAGCTCAACAGAGTGTCTTTATTTTTCTTTTTATATATTTAGTGAGGAATTTGTTCATGAAAGCTATGTGCAGTGAAGGGTAAGTATGCCAAGAAAACAAGTATGGTATCTGTTTGTGAAGTTTCCTTAGCGCTCACTCCAGCTTGAGTTCATATTTTAAACTGTTATCTTTTTCATGTACTGAATTAAACCTGTTGATAAATTTGCAGGTCTGGTGTTGGCTAAAACCTTGTTTCCACTGAGAAGAATTATTTTCAACTGAAGGAATGCTTTTTCAGGTCATGTCTTCAGGTTAAATAATTTGAACACAGGTTGTCATCAGTATTTATCTGGTAGGGTTTTTTGGTTTTGTTAGTCCTGATTATAAGATTTTGAATGTGTTTAGGGTAGTACCAGTTTGCCCCTTGCTATTAACTGTGCAGCTATAGCAACTGATACCAGAGCTGTTCTCCTGATGCCTTGAGGAAAAAAGTTTGGTTTAGGGGAATTGAAAATGAAATTGAGACCTGGGCTGACCAGGAAGGCAGATCAGTGCCTGTGGGAATGTTGTCAACAGATGTCAAATGAAGATGAAACAAGTTTTCCTCCTGTCGTTGTCACCATTGCTCCTTAAGGCCAGTAGTGTCAGCATTTTCCAACAGAGCTGTTTGTCACCAGGATGCTTGTACTGACTCATAAAAGCCAGTTTTAGAGGCAGGCTGCGGCAACTGGATGTAGTTTATTGGATGTAATTGAGAGAAATATTACAGACAAGGTTTTCCTTAACCTTTGTTCACTTATGTATGAGAGAACAGCTACACATCAGCAAGATGTTTGCAGGGTTTTTAATTGTCAGCCTAACTGCACCTTGTGTGAAATGTACAGCACTGAGGCTCACTCTCTTCTTGGAACTGTGTTCTGTAATCCTTTAGGCAGCAGTGACAAGTCCTCTTTTTGTCTGCTGCATCTGGGGGTGGCCTGAAAACTTGTGTGTTTGTTTGTTGGCAATACATGCAAATTATTTTGGGAATGTATGTGGGAGTTGGTTTATACTGTGAAACTAGTTCTCTGTACATAGCTGTGTCTGAGGATGAATGAAAGAAATGAATGTGTGGAAACAAACATCTTGCAGTCTGGTGCTCTAATTACAATACAGATGCTTTGAATTTGCATTTTCAAAACATTCTGTTCATTCCTTAAGTCATGGCATTGTTTAATGCTTAAAGTTATTCTTTTTTCTGTACTGATGAGGCTGCTTTACAGGAGTGAAACTGCCTCCTGTTCTGCCCCCAGAGTCCATGTGACTACAAGGTGACTAATGACTTATAGCCTCTTTTGCTCAGAGCAGTGGTTTCTTTAGGTTTTGGAGATAACTCCTAAGTAGGAATTCAGTAGTGAGTGACTGTATGGATTTGAGATGAGAAGTTCCTGTTTTTTCAGGAGGAGGCACTTGTAAAACTCAAGTCCATCCTTAAGCAGCGTGTGGGGAGCTTTGCCTTCCCTGTGGGGTTTTCACTCAAGGCTGAGTGTGCTTTGGGGTTCTCTGGGTTTCCAGGTGTTATCTGAAGGCAGATTGGGTGAGAGCAGCATGGAGAGCTGTGTGTGAGGGCCAGTGGCTTTCTAAGGCTGTGTGTAGGTACCTCTGGGACTTGAATCCTGGTCTTCGGGTGCATCACCACGGTTTCAACATGATCCGGGACAGAGTAATTGCTTGGAAGTGATTGATGTTTATCGAATGGGGAACATGACGAGTGTTAATATTTTGTTAGAGTTGTTTAAACTAAAACATACATTTCCAAATGTCATTCTTTATGCTCCTTATGGGGTCTTTTGCTTTTAAACCTGGTGTAATTGTACTGCAACTTTGACCACTGGCAAAGCATGGCAGTTCAACGCATGGATGTATTTGTACTTTGATTGTACTGCGTTACAAAGCCACTTGACTGGGGACAAATGGGGAAATCAGTTGCCTGAATAAGACTAATTTCAGAGAAAAATGCTTATATGCTGACATTACCATGGAAGTATGTAAGCTTACTACGGCATATGAAGTGAGGAAGCTAAGTTGAAGCGCACTGCTGGAGAACATCTCACACCACTTCAATTTTGGTGTAGATGAACTTCATGGTTCCTGCACATACAGATTTTCAGAAAGCAGTTTGAGTTTCTCCATGGGCATGGGGAGCAAGGTGTTAGTTGGCTTTGTGGTACTAATTGAAAAAGGCCTAACGGATTGCTGCAATGGCAACTTCTGCTTCTTCAAGTGGAAGGAAATACTGAATATACATTGAAATAGGACATAAGTGTAAAATATTTCAGCTCCTTTTTCAAATGCTTTAACTGGACAGATTGTTAAACAAAACCAGTTTCGGTAGACTGCTATGTGCAAATCTGCCTCAGGGTTTAGTTTTGACACCGATGGTATTTTTTCTCAGTGATACTGTTCAAACATTTGGCTGCTTTCACATCTCGGCTTCCCCTCTAAGAATTACTCTCAGGTAATTTAGAAATCTGCAGTAGGTTTCACAAGTTGGTGTTAAAGAAGTGCTCCCAGCTGCTGCTATGGAGAGTACCCTGCTAAGTAGTCTGAGATTTTGGAAAACCTGAGCTGCTGCTGCTCACAGCATGTCTGAGTCTCTGTCTTCTGGCATAAGATTCTCATGCTGTGCTTTCTCAGAGCAGTGAGTGCTATTTCATTGGGTTTCTAGGTGTAGGCTTGAAGTCTTTTGAATACAGAGCATTTCTCCAAAGCACGGAGCTTTATGAGAGAATCTCTGCAAGGGAGTGAAATATTAATTCCAGAACTTTGAAATCATTAAAATGATTTTTTTATTAGTCAGAAAAAAGAGGTGTCCACAGGCCTTTTTTCTTCCTTTCTGTCATCTTTTTTTAATTGCATATCATCTGGCAAATGAAGTTTTCTACAGACTGAGTGTTCTGGTAGGGAGTGTGAAGTGGTTTCAAATTTTTGATTTTTTTCTTAGCTTCCTTTATGTAAAAGATTGGATAATCAACTTTTTTGCTTCTATTGCTGCAACATGCTTTCGTTCCTCAAAGTTAATGGTTGCAGTTTTTTTCTTTTTCCAATTCCAAGTGGTGTTTCATTTGTATAGAATATCTGCTTTCTATTTGAGTCATCTTAGATGGTTTAGGTTTGTGTGCTTGTGGCTGACAGTTGGCAAGAGGAAGCTCCATCTCACATAAGTCCATCCCTGAGCTCACTGTTGGTAAGCAGGCCCCTTAGCCTCTACCAGTGCAACGAGAGGTATAAGATATACATCTGCTGGTGCGCTGTAAAGTCATTAAAAACTCTCTGGCTCCTTGTTGGCAGAGTGTTTGGCAGGTTAAGCCCTTTAAGGGTATTTCACTGTGAGTTCTTAAGCAGCTGCAATGGGAAGGCTGCAAAAGCTGTTTCTTGCTACCTAGTGTCTTTTATCAAGAGTTCATCAATGCCTGGAATGTGTGGATTTCACAAGTTCACTTGTTTTTGTTTTTCCTAGGGGACATACAAAAAAAGCAAAGCAGACATATTACGTATGACTGTTTTTTCTTGAACAAACTAGCTGTTTTCTTTGCAATGCTCTTATGTACCTTAAGTTGGATACTGATTTTGACTGTCTTTATCTGTTGATCTACAATGCATGTGTTTTAATGCTTGGAAAGCACTATACAGTTTCCTTCTGTAATGCGAATGAGAAGGATGCAGTTTTTCGAAGGCCAAGTGTTATGTCCAGACCTGATGCTGATGTTTTAAAGACATGCTGCTGCTAATAAGACACTTCAAAAATTTGTTTTAGCTTGCTGTATCACAAAAACACTTCCTGCAACATCTATTTCAATATTATACTGATGTAAATACTTGACAGTTCTAGTAAAACAGGATTTTTGTGGGATGACAGAGGCTGGACTCTATCTGGAGGTATTAAAGAGGACTCTATCTGGAGGTAATAAAGAGGCACAACTGTTAGATGAGACTTCATTTTGCCAGTCATGTTGCATCCTCATGTCTCTGGGTTGGAAGTACTTTAGAGGGTTATGAGCCCTGGTGTTTGGAAATAGAGTTGTTTCTCATAATCACAGTCATAAGTTTGGAGAAGACCACTAA